GAGGCAGTTCCTCCGGCCGCGGGGGCCGTCCCGTCCCGTCCCCAAGGGACGGTTACCGGGTGCGGGGCCGGGTGTCCCCAGGGGTTAGCTCCCGCCCTGCCTGGGCTGTTACACCGCGAGAGCTGCAGCGGGGACGCGCCTCTGGGAGAGCAGAGGAGAGGGTAAGGGGCTCTTCTTTTTGCCGGCAGTGCCAAATTCTGACAAACGTTACAAAGTTTTTCTCGCCTACTGTCTATATTAGAAACTCTGCTGCAGTCTGTGGCCCTGGCCGGTACCGGGAGGGACGTCTGAGCACTGACAGCTCCGGCTTTGCCTGATGTTTTCCTGAAAAGGCTGGGAGCTGCTTTGTTTTGCTCCTGGTAAATGTTAAAACAATTCAGTGTCACTGTTTATGTCAGTACCTCTTGTGTGCTGCATCGGTAGCTTTGTTTTACCCAGCGAACAACTGTTTTGCTGATGCTTTTTTAAATGTGCAGCACTGGAAAGGCAAAACTTCCATCGCCATTCCCTATCCTGTAATTCTGTGTTTCATGTGTTAGTTTTAACAAATCCAGTCGTTGATGAGCTAGCAACAATAAATAGTCTCTTTTAATAAATCCAATTTTTATTGTACACAGTTGGAGACATGACATCAATTTAATTCCATTTCGCCTTTAAAAAGCTCTTGGTCTCAAAATCAGTTTCAAAGCTAACTAGAAAAAATGCCATAAAATGCATCTACCGTTTCTTCTCCCCAGATGGCTCACTTGCAAATCTGTGTTCTACATAGTATTTCACTTGGGCAACCTCCTTAGTAGAGAATGAGGATACTTTTTCTGACATAGTGGGATTGTCAGCAATAATAAACAGATAAATGATTTATCTAGTTCATCCATCTACTATCTTAACTGGTCTTCCTAGGTCTCTTGCAGGTTCAGCTGGTTTTGGAACACTGAAAAACATGAATAATATGGAATCACCACATTTCTAGTAATGACATTAAAACCTCTTCTTCCAGTCTGCTCCCTGCACATTCCTACCCTGATGGATTCTTCCTCCTTCCAAACTCAGGCTTATGTCTTTGTGCTGTTCTAACCCCAATCTGTTATTTTAACCTTAGGGCATATAACTTTATGATGCTAGAAAAATATGTACCTTAATAGCCTTCTCAACTACTTTGATTTGAAAACTGAATGCCAAGAAAGGATCGGGGATGATTAACCACTGGGCCTCTGGGCTTATAGACAAGTAGAATTATCCTCCTCTCAGATTGAATTACCTCGGAGATTATGTATCTCTGAGCTTTTGCTTTATGCTTGAGTGCCATGGACAAAAGCTAGATATATTATGGCTTGTCCAACTCTTTAGTTACCATTTTTAAAAGCTTGTTTGTGGCTTGTTTGGTTTTGGGTTTTTTTTTCAGACACAATGCCAAACAGCAGATGCTTTTTTTTAAAGAAAACAAATAGCTTTTTACTGTATAAACACTGTATAGATTGCAACTAGCTCTGCCTATGCTAACGTTGAAAAAAAGGATTACTAGCCAGAAGACAAAATGAGGCTAATCAGTTTAAAGCATTGCAGTTAAATTACAAAACAAAACTATCTAAGCAGTTTTTACAGCGTATTTTATCTTGTGTGCAAATTTACAACTACTGTGTTAGAAAAAGAACTGTATTAAAGGGTTCCCATGAACTTGGTATCTTGTTGCGGGTTTCTGAAGCGTAACTTGTGAGTTGGATGTTTATGCAGCTTGCAAAGATGTCATCTTCCGTCCTCAGCCTTTTAGCTACCCAGAACCTTGGAACAAGCCTTTTTCAGGCCCCAACTGCTGCTCTCCCTCTGCACAGCAGTAAGGAGAAAGTGCAAGGTCCCTTCCAGAGGCTGGGAGAGGTGGGAGGTTTAACTTTTGAGGGCAGAAGTTAAAATGCCACCTAGGCCAGCACTTTATCCTTGGAAGCAAGGCAGGAAAGGGGCTCAAAGCACCCTTTTTGTCCAGCCAGAACCAGAGGTGGGGAAAGGTCTTCCTGGGAGTGGTAGACGGCCAGCAGCTGTTTTTGGGACATAGCCTTCTTGTGCCAGCTTCCAATGTTCAAGATGGATTTTTATGTGACCACCAGCTGAATGTGAATACCTATTTAAAGGCACCTACAAGGAAAAGTGCTTTGAGGATCTGTGGTGATGCATTTTAAGAGATTTTATGTTCTACACCTACTCCTCATTTCTCTTCTTGGTGTATTCCACATAAGTATTTTTCTTGTGCCTACATTCAAAGGAAAGTATTAAGAATTCCATTGTGTCCTTTAATGTCAGCCAGAAGTGTGTTAAATGGCCAAGTAAACAAAATGGGAATGAAAATGAAGATACTGATGTCCAGTAAGAGATACTACAATACAGATTTGTTTTACAAGAAACAGGTGTCTGCAAATGTCACGTGAAAGACACCTCTGCTGACTCCACTACTATATGTATAAAAAATGAGATTGCATGATGGAAAACCTACCCAATTATACCACATGATTCATGATCTGTATGTGACACCCAAACATTTAATTTCGGGGGGAAAAAATGCCTTTTGAGAAGGTAGTTTGTTCATGTGAACTCCACTGAAATATCATGCTATATATGAAACTTTAAAACAAGGTTCTCTATGCAGGCAATTCAATCAGCTTCCCCCACCCAGAGTTGTGGTGTGTTTATAATACAATCAAGCCCCACGGTCTGAGTTTTCACAAGCTGCCCTGCTGTGAAGGAGGGGTCCCTTTTTTTTTTTTTAGTGTTCACAAACATCCTAAAATGTCGAAGATTCCCATTTGTACACTCAACTGGTCAGAACTTGTTTTGACAGTTGTTGGTACTTAAAATTTTCTAATGAATCTTGCAGTGTGCAGCGTTCACAGATGTAAAGTGAGAAAATCATCAGTAAAAAGGTCTCACTACTTCCCACCGCTTTTAAACTAGAGCATTATCTTCATGAAATGCATAGCTACACTCTGGAACGCTCACAGCACCCTGTGAATATTCAACTCTTACTGGAGCTAAAAATAAAATTAGGCAATTTGTGGAGGAAGAAAAAAAAAAAAAAACCAAACCAAAAACATATGAAGAAGAATTGTTAAACCTAAAATATTACCTCCAGCTGGGAGGGTCCCCGAGCTGAGAGCTAGGACAGTACCAGCAGAAGTAGCAGCGCGTTTATCCAGTGGATCGGCTGCCCCTGGCAGCTGCCATCAGCCG